TCGCGTGGCCACATGATGATATATTTAGATCACCTTAAAAATCAAACCGAAGACTGGCAATTATTTGAGTACGGTCGCAGTACCAAAGCCGAGTAGTCGTGTTCTCGATCGTAAAACCATAGGCCGCACGACGCCGAGGATCCTCTCGCATGATGGTGTTCAGGCCCCAGAGAAGTTTTTGAGCGTCCTAGTGCCAGCGTAGGCCAGTCAGTCGACGACACTGGAGAGAAAGCAGCTATACCACACACGTCATTTGTCTCTTCTTGCCCATCCTTCTTCTTGAATTCACCCAATGGACCGATGTCCCACCAGCTGACATCACTTCGACCGCCACGTTCACGTTCGGACAAGTTGAGAAAGTACCCGTCGGGGCGAGACTTGTTGTCGTCGCGATGCTGGCTATCTGGGGTTCTGTGGGGACTGTTTGTGTAGGCGAAGCGCTGCCTGGGGGTGCCCTTCTCCCAGCGGTGACGTCCGACAGCTGCTGATATATCCTGGGCGATGTCTTCTAGCTGCTTGAACACCACGGCTTCGGTCTCCAACTTCGCCTTTGAGAGCTTCGGCTGTTGAGGGAAGGACGCCCAAGTGTACTCGTCGCCATCTCTCTCGAGAGCGGCACGGCCATTCGGATCTGTGGTCTGAAGCTCCTTCATAACGGCGCGCACCGCACTGTTTCGCTCTCCGAAGACGTCCGGGAGCGGAGGCATGGCGTGAGCGAGAAAATTATCCAAGAGGACCTGGGGGACGTGACGGAGCTCTTCTGTCAGAGCCCTACGGGCATCCTCCGTCTTCCCAGCGAATATCGAGGCTGACTGCGCAGATTTCTTGTGAGAAGGCGTTTCAGTGTTAGAAGGACGGGCCTGGCCGTCCGGCGGAGGAGTGCTAGGAGCCTTACGCATTGTGACGACGGGCTTGAGCTGGACATCGAAGGCTGCATTATATACGTGTTGTGAAACAGATATTTGCGAGATATGTGGGAAGAGAACAAGAGCTGTTCTCAATTGTCAGGCCTGGTTGTTCAACGTCGCGTTCCAAGAATGGCAACTGAACAGTGCACTACTGCACCCGCGCGTTATTGATGGCGCGCCCCGAATAAGGAAGCTGCTCGTCCTTGCTACTATGAGCGTCCTCCCTCAGGGTGCATCCTCGGAGCGTATAATCGTATTACCCTGTTCTAGACAAACACACAGCCAAGGCATTATACTTATTTTGTATGTACTCGGACGTTTCTTTGTCTGAGATTTCCGAAACGCTTCCTGGAGGCAGATTCACAAAGACTGGTGGATCAGGATGCTATTCGGGAGTCACTCAGGCTGGCGCATCCGAGTGCTCACATGTCAGGGTTTAGGGTGTCGCAGCGCAGATGTGAGTCGTATATAAAATAAATTGTTAAGTGATTCAGCCCTCAACGTGGTATATGGGAGATCACGCCACAACACACGCCTTCTAATGCGTTGTTCCAGAGTGACCGTCCTGGACGATGTGGCGATGACTCCTAGTACGCGACAGCGGGGCATGTAACCCCCTGAAAATGCGGCTAAGAATTCAGATTACACTGCTCCCGAGATTACAGATCACATTTGTCAGCGGTCCACGAATTTTGTCTACCTTTTGAACGACTCCGGTCTTGAGCAACTACGCCACAAAGTGAGTACGTAAATATGTAGGAGCTGTCGCCGCAACCTCAACTCCAATATCATACAAGCCAACTAGCGGACTTTACAAGACTGCCTGAACGCCCTGTAGCGGCCACTGGAGCCACTGCAGACATGTCGCTTCGGGAGAGAACGAACAGGCCCGAGCGGCTTGAGCGGCACCGCGGTTGCCACGAGTGAGTCACTGACCATGCGAGGAAGAATTAGAATCCAAGGGAATGCGCACGTGAATCCCTCGTTTCGCCTGCTGAGAGATCTGATAGACGGCCGCACTGTCCGGACTGGCACCGATTCAGGGATTATCTCCGCCATCTCACGGCAGCCGGACCAGCAGCATGTTGCCCAACTAAGTCGCCTGGCAGGGAATCTTCCAATCTCCAGCGTACCTTCCTGAAAGATATTGGAGTTGCGTACGAAAATAAGTACTAGTGGAGCTTCCTGATTGTGCGTGCTCTGGCGGCTTATATCGTGGGGTCTTCTCGTGTGCTCATCATTTATAATTACATCATCATAATCTTCCCTCCAGAATAATATCCCTCCAGCCTCACTTCTAGCGATATTCAAGACATCTCTAGAGGCGCTGCTTCTGGTCTCTGAGCTTGGGACTTTTAAGCTGACCCTTGCAGAGTATGACGACGAAGACTCGGTGAAGAATTCTGCCACCGTCTGTAAAAGCGTACTATCTGAGCATTACGCGCGCGCCATGGTTTGATACCATTATGGTGCTCATGAGCAAGACGAGAGAAAGCTCGTCAAGGAGGTATGGGATGGTAAAGACGATCAGGTTGAGGTCGGAGTGTCGGCCCAGTAAGGTGTGGGGTATTGTTTGTTACTACTCCAGGCGCTGGCACTCTTATGTGCGACGTCGGGAAGGAGTATTGTGTCAAATGACGAGGAGATGAACGGGGCCGACCCATTGCCGCAGCTGAGTTGGGATGCCCGCGCCACAAAGTGTTAGGCGCTAATTCAGATGTCAGCGAACTCTGACAAAACCTCGGAAGTTGGCCAGACTGTGGCCAGCTAGCAGGTCTCCTTTCAGCCCTACTGCTTGTGCTATGGCCTGAGTAGTTTCGCCATCTCATCGAAGTTTGATTCCCGCAGTGAGGCCCTGACTAGTCCGCACAATGAACGGCACTGGTGCGCCTGCTACTAGCATGTGCCTGCGGACAGCCCGGGCCTTCGGACAGGTCATCGTAAAGTTATGATGTTTCCTCGTTTTCAGCCACCGCTTCCCCGAATCGTCCATCCCTGTGATAGTTGTCCATTTGCGAAGCGGTCTGGTACACATCTTCGAATAACATATATGTACTCACGACTAGTACTCTGCTCAGTTCGTTTCAGATGTATCATCGTTGAGGCTGTATTCTCTCTATATCTCCTGATAGATGCGTGTTGTTACTTCTTGCTTCCTAGATGTTTACCCCGAGCGTTCCTGTGTGACGGGTATCAGCTGTGATGTCATCAAAGCCTTTCTTCAGCCCGGTCTTCCAGCTCTTGTTCCCAGTCTTTTACCTTCACCTTCACGCCACAGTTACCTGCACTCTTTCTCCTCCGCGCCCGTTTCTCCAACTATATCCAGTCCCTTGAAGCCCCGCTCGTTGCGTGCTATATATACCGCTCGACCTGAAGATTTCGTAACCGCGTGTCAACTAGCTCCACCACGAGCGTTGCTACCCCCCGGTGTCCGTGCATACGAGCATCCACAAAGCCCTCCAAGATGCAAATGGACGGCTGGACAGACTACCTTCACGTCGCGTTCTACGGAGAGCACGTTCTCTTCCCCGCGTTCCGTCTCGATTCAGCATGGCATTTCGTCGTGGCCTCGATCTTCACCGCCCTTCTTTGTCTCGCAGAACGGTGCGTCTCGAGCCTGGTGTGGAGGTGGTTGAGAGCCAAGCTTACGGAAGTGTTGGGCGCACAGCGCCCTCACGTATGCTATCAACAAGAACTGGACGCCCTTCGCATGCACCCGTCGCTCCCGCTTCCGCCGGGCGGTGTGGAAGTCGGTGTTGTACTGGGTCGTCACCTTTGCCAGGCTGTGCGTGCGCATTTTCTATGGTTATTCGTCGAGAGGGTACCTGACGGGGAACTGTTGGCGGCATCCGAATAGGCTGTACATGCTGGTAGCCATGACCTTCAGCATCGGGTAAGTGCCTTTCGCATTCGTCGCGCGGTTTGTGCGGGCTAACGGGCGTTCGTGCTCAGATTGATCCTCGTCTCCGTATGTACATTAGCCAGACGACCTCGTCGACCATGCAGCTGAGACTTCGCATAGGTCACCTCGTTGTCTGTCGGCCAATTCGTCATTGAATATCTTGACAACCACGGGCCAGACCACACTGGGAACGAGTATGTGCTCTTATTTCACGTTAAGCAAACGTTTCGCTCACGTCGCTGGTACCTTAGTGTGGAAACCGTGAAAGAACCACTGCTTTCATCGTCACCTACATCGTATGAACCCTCATTTACTTCGCATCATTATCCCACTTACCGATTCCCTTCTCTGATATCTCTCCTACCTCGTCTCTGTCACTAGCCCACAAGACGACAACCGTGAACGCTTCCTCGCCCACCGAGCCTAGCCGGGATCAGCAGAGTCCTGTCAGGCGTCTCCGCTCGAAGTCGAAGCCCGCAAGCATTTTCATCCACCCTGCACAGTCTAACATCGCACGAGCGGACGCGGCGGCTATTCACATGGGCTTGGCATGGGATACAGAATTGGTGAAGGGAAACATGCATGCACCCGGAGGCGAACCGGCGTGGAAGATTGGAAGAGGAAAGGATCTTGCAAGGCAAATGATGCGCCGGGGCGGCGCTGTCTGACCTGCTTTCATGGCCAAGAAAAAGAAACATGGCCCCCAGCAGGCAGCCTGGCGCTGTCTCTGTAATCACAAAACACAGCCGACCGTACGCATACTAACAGTAGAATGTAGAGAGTATAGTTTGTTTTGCAAAAGATTCACAAGGGGAGCTTGCTCGTCCGTAGCATGTTGTATCTCGAGTACAAGCATTATTTTTTCCCCTGAGAATGTATATGGTAGCATTAAAAGACACCTCTACGGCGGCGGCGCATCCGACTGACCCTCCTCCAAGCTCTTCTCAAGACCCTTCAACGTCCTCGCCAACTTCGCCCCGCCCGCCTCACCAAGGACCGCCGAGAGCTGCCCAGCCGGCGCGCTGAGGAGCCCGACGATCTGCGCGCGCAACGTCTCCAGGTCCGGGAGCTGCGCGACGCTCCGCACGTCCTCGACCCTGACCGCGCGGCCCTCGATGACAGCGCCCACGAGCGCGAGGTCGGGCGCGGCGCGGGGGCGCGCGCCCTTGGGGCGGCGGCCGGGCACGTAGCTGTCTTCCGCAGCCTTGCGCGCCGCGGCGAGCTCCTCGGCGCTCGGCGGCACGCGCGGCGGCACCGCCCGCGCGACCGCCGCGAGCACCGCGAGCAGCTGCGGCGGGTTCAGCTCGGGGAAGGTCAGCACCGCGAGCGTGCCGCCTGCCATCTGGGCGATCGCCTCGCGCGCGGTGTCGTCAAAGTCGGGGTGCTGTCGCAGCGCGACGCCGAAGAAGGCCGTCGACGCGATGACGAACTGCGGGAGTGGTGGTGGTGGAGCAGGGGAGTTCGGGTGTGGATGCGGGCGCGCGGGCGTGAGCGCGGCGAGCGAGGGCTTCGGTTTCGGGGCGTGCTTGAGCGCGGCGGCGGCGATGTCCTTGCGCAGCTGGAGCAGCCGCGGGACGGAGAAGTCGATGTGCCGGAAGAGGATGAGCGGGTGCGTCTTGCTCGAGCTCAGCAGGCGGGTGTACTCGTCCACCTTGAACCGTTTGCGCTCCGGGTATTTGCGAGGCATGGCCTTGCCTGGGAAGGCGTACGGCGGGGCTACCGAGGCGGCGGTGCGTTTTGCGATGGTGCTGGGCCCCGCGAGTGATGCGCTAGGGCATGCCGCACGCAGCGGCTTTGCCAGCGAGGAGAGCATTGCTGGTGACGGTGAAGTTGCGGGACAAGACTCAACTTGCGAAAACGACAGACTGGCGCGCGCTTGTCGCCGACGCGTTGAATTGAAAGCGCCCGCTCGAGCATTTCGCCTCAACACCTTATCCAGCCGCGAAAAGCTCAAATATAATTCTAGGAATAAAGTCAAGCTCTCCGGCAAACACATGCATTTAGGTTATACATGGCGCCTATGACCCAGTCGGAATCGCTGTATGTGTACATCGTTCAATTTGCTCTTCGACTCTCTGGCTCATTCAGGGACAGGTCCAACGTTAGCGTGCTGTATTCCACAAAAATTAAGAAAATAGGCGCATTCATGACCGGACGAAGACTGACCTTCTTGCTGTCAAATCCATCAAGTGCAGATGCCACACGGGTACCAGCAACGAGGGAGCTCCAGTCCAGGGTCTCAAACACACTGTCGCCGCGGAGCTTCTTTGAATCGTGGAGCGCACGAGCGGTGAGGAGGTGCTGGTGTGCACTGTCCTGTTCGCTTGTCAGCATTGTTAATGATAGTTGACAGAAGCACGCGACGTACAAGTGCTGGCATCGGTGAGTTGACCTCTGCCGCAAGCTTCCTGATGTGCGTCGAGTCTTTGATGCCACCATCGATAGCAAAGCCCTTGGTTCCGTCGAACAGATCATTTACCATCTTGTTACAATACGCGTCTAATCTGTTCATCGCTGAGGTCAGACATGGAGTGGCTGGGTATGGCAGACGCTTACAGCGGTGCTGGTAAAAGGTCTTTAACGAGGCCATGCACCTGAGTGGGCTTGATGCCGGACTTTTCGGACAGAGTCAGGGCTTCAGCGAGAACCTCGAGGCTGCCCAAGATCATCGAATTGCCGATAAGCTTGAAGGTGGGCGCTGTAGGGTGAGCGGTGAGCATGCCTTGAGATGAGACACGGGGATATGTCTGACCTTTCTCGAGGTTACCTCCGAGGTCGATGACCTTGCGGCCCAAGGCGGGGACCAAGAGATGTGCGACTTCCTTCTTGGAGCGATAATCGCCGGCCATGACGACGATGAGCTGAGCTGCTTGAGCGACATGCGGTGCGCCAAAGACGGGTGCCATGACGAGGTGACAGTGAGGGATGTTGCTGATGAGGGTGTCGAGTTCACCTGGCGAAACGTCTTGAGCTGACAAGTGCGCATGGCAGCAGTAAGTGGACCTCACCTGCCAGTGTCGGATAGACGGTGCTACATTCTACGAAGATCTTGTTTTTCGTCGAATGGGACTCCTGTTCTCGACTTTTGATGAGCCGACAATGAAGAGTAAAGCCAGGCAGGCCATACCTTGAGCGCGGTCGCAAACTTTTCATAGATGGCCTTGACGATGTCATCGTTGGCGAGGTTGGTGATGATGACATCGCAGTTGAGCGCAAGGTCCTCTGGGTTGTCTACGATTTCGATGTGTGTCTTGCCGACCTCGTTCTGCAAGCTCTCGCACTTTGCACGGGTACGGTTCCAGACGCGTATTGGGTGGGCGATGGTGGGGGACTGAAGGCGGGTGGCGAGATTGCGGACCATGGGATTGCCCATCGCACCGAGACCTGCGAAGCCGAGGACCAGCTCCTTGTGCGGGGTGTGGGGGCGGGAGAAGGGGACTGAGTCCAGTGCCGGGGTCGAGCGACCGCTGAGGAGAGGCGTCATGGGCTTTGGGCTGGGCAGGTGACTGTGCTGGAGAGGGTGGGCCATGTCTGCTGCGACTGTGTGCGACGGCGATGGTGGTCGGGGCCAAGGCTGCAATCTCTCGTCGAATCTGCCTCTTTCGACCTCTGCTTCTCGGTTCGCGTCATAGGGCGTGAGCGCCGAGCCGAGCCGTGTCACGTGAGAGCGACGGCGGAATAACTGGAGTACAAGCTGCCAGCTCGACGGAGGCTGCACCGCGACCACCGACGGCCATGGCTCAGCCACAGGCCTATGCCCCGCCCTTCCCGCATCAGAACAAGGGCACCCTCGTCCCCGGCCAGTCCATCTCCGTCAACAAGTACACCGTCCAGGTCGACCGCTACCTCAGCCAAGGCACGTCTCTCGTCGCGTTCCCCGTTCCACTCATCTCACGTCCAGCCCAGGTGGTTTCGCCCACGTCTACCTCGTCCGCACCGCACAGCCAGTTTTTGGAACACACCACCATGTCCTCAAACGCATCGCGGTCCCCAACGAGGCCATGTTGACAGAGGTCAAGAAGGAGGTCGACATAATGGTACGCAGCACACCGCCTCACCGGACCCGGGCCAGGATCCATGACCTGTTCCACAGAGGATCCTCAAGGGCCACCCAAACATTGTCTATCTCATCGACGCCGCATGGCATCGCTCGACCGACGGTGTCTACGAGGTCTTCATTCTCATGGAGTACTGCCCAGGAGGCGGTATCATCGACATGATGAATCGACGTCTCAGAGAGCGCCTCACAGAGCCAGAAATCCTCACAATATTCGTCGACGTCTGCGACGGTCTCGCCGCGATGCACGCTCTCAAGCCGCCATTACTCCACCGCGACCTCAAGGTCGAGAATATCCTACAAGCGTCTCAGTCCTCCTACAAGCTCTGCGACTTTGGAAGCGCCACTCCCGTGCAGAAAGTCCCGACATCGACGCAAGAGCTGAGAGCCCTGGAGAGCGACCTCAACAGACATACCACCCTGCAATATCGCGCCCCGGAGATGGTGGACGTCTACCAGCGACGACCCATCGACGAGAAGAGCGACGTGTGGGCACTGGGCGTCCTGCTCTACAAGCTTTGCTACTATACCACCCCCTTCGAGGAACACGGTCCCCTCGCCATCTTGAACGTTCAGTACAAGATCCCCCCTTATCCCGTTTACTCCCACCAGATGAACGCTCTGATAGGTACGTGCTTTATCCCGCTATCCTGTCTTGATCTAAGGCATCACGATCACAGCCTCCATGTTGCGCGAACACGGAGCACAACGACCGAATGTGTTCGAGATTCTGAACCACGTCCACGCGTTGCGAGGCTCGAAACCGCGCTTCCAGTATAGCGTCCAGACGAAACAACCGCCGATTCCCCGTCCTCTGCAGCCGCTGTCCGCCAACGTTGGCGCACGCGCGCCGGCACCTAACCCTCTCGACGACCTTGTCACGTTCAAGTCTCGAACGGCACAGCCATCGCCGGCCAGGAATGCTGGTGTCGAAGCTCGGGAAAAGGTCCTCGAGGCCATTGCGCCCATGCGCCGAGGACGCCCCGGGCAGTCTGCGGGTGTCTCAGAGCAACCGCGCCAATACCAGCCTCCCCCAAGCCCAAGGAAGGAGAAGGAACGCGGTGGTGCCGGAAGTGCAGGCTTCAGCTTGGACATGAAGTTCGGCGCCGACGAGGACAAGGTCTGGAGGGGTGTTCGGGGTCACAAGTCGGGACTGGCGAGCGTGGGCGGAACGACTGCCAACCTGAACTCGGGCGGTGATGCGTGGGGGCTCGGGGGGAAAGACGCGGGGAAGGAGAAGGTCGCGAAGGACAGGCTGGGGTTGCCCAGTGGCTTCGACGGCGACTTTTCAGCTTCGTTCGGCAAAGGTTTCGGAGACGCCTTCGAGCCTTCCAAAGCACCCGCGCCCAGCCCATCGCCATCGAAGCCCCTACCGATCCCCAGCTCCCGGCCGACACCGTCGCCAGGACTGTCCGGCTCCCCCAGCAGGCCAAGGACATCCAAAGACGCCTTTGATGGCCTGGGCTTTGTCGCTCAGCCGCCGCTGCCACCGACGCTCGGCGAAGCTCGTCGCGTGAGGACAGGCCTAGCGGCCACCGGCGTCAGCGCGACCCTGTCGTCGGCGTCGAGCGGTCAGTACCTCGCTGCCCCAGGCCAGAGTCCTGGGGCCGGCGTCGGCTCGAGCTACACGACGTACCGCCCTCCGAGCTCGCAGTCGCCCGTGCCGTCCCTGCGTCCCCAGCCGTCGCCGCGTCCTCACTCCCCCCTCGTCTCGTCCTCCCGTTCGCCGTCGAAACCCTCGCGGCCCGGCGAGCTCTCTGCCGAAGAACGGTTTCCCTCGCTCGAGGACCTCGACCGTACCTTCTCCCCTCCGGCGCCCGGCCACACGTCGATGGCGAACGCCGCCCGTGCACCCTCGCAACCAACGTTGTCGACGGAGAAGGTCTCGGAGCGTCCGACCGGCACGGCACGACCGCCTTCGCGAGGTGGCGGCGGCGGCGCGGTGCGCACCGGCAACCTCCTCGGGCTGCCTGCTTCCGCGACGGACCGTGGCGCGGGCAGGTACGACGGCGTGCGCTCCCAGCAGGTCACCGGCACCGCGATGCGCGACGCGAGGCTGGGCCACGGCCGGTCGCCGACCGCTACTGACGTTACCGCTACCGCCGCCGCCGCCGCCACTGCCGCTGCAGCCGCCACGCTAGAATCGGGCAGAGGCGGACCCCGCCGCTCCGGCACGGTCTCGGGGCACACCCGTCCGGCGCTGCAGCGCCGCCATCGAAGCTCACTCTCCATCAAGCAGACTCCGTCCGACGCGGGCCCCGCGCTCGTCGACGTCTCGTCGGCTCGATCAGCAGGTGCAGCAGCAGC